TCACAAATAAAGTGTCTCTGAGGGCCACATAGGCTGTAAAGGAGTATAGCAGGCAAGTTTAGTAAAATTGTGAGTGTTGGGGCTGGAACCCATACGAGAGAACAGGTCTCACCAAAGACAGTATGTCTTAATCACACACTAGTAATAACCAGTTTGCCAAAAAAAATACACCCGCTAGTCAAATTGGGTATGTGAGGATCAGTTTGTGAATCCCATTTCTATTATAACATCTCTCAAATTATGGTTTACAGATCCCCTAAGGGGTTTTAAACTTATTTCAAAAGATCATAAATCTATATACATACCAAACATTACCTAGCACCTGAAAAAGAATGCCATGAACATCCAAACAGTAGTATTTTTAAGTGTAAGTAGATGCCATTGTGATCAATAAAGTACACATTTATTTAAAAGTAGCAGATTCATATCAACTTTTTGTTAGTATGTAGTTCTCAGTCAGTAGATGCTAACTAACTATATACAACTTATGCTCATGGTAGCTGGGGGAGGGCACACCATTTTTTGACCTCAAAAGTGCTTTATAAGTTTAAATGTTGGGAAACAACTCTGAAAGATTTTCAAAATTAAAATAGACAACCCAAAGGGTATAACTAGTGATTTCAGCAAACAGGAGGTCTCCTCTCGGGGTAGCCTCAGAATGTGATGTGAAGGTAGAGCCGAGAGGTATCTGAAGATGCTGGCCTTGAGGACTGAAGGGACGCAGCCACAAGCCAGGGAAAGATGCAGCCACCAGAAGCTAAAAGAGGCAAGGAACATATTCACCCTCGAAGCTTCCAGAGGCATCATGGTCCCGCCAACGCCTTGAGCCCAGGGGAGCTGATTTTGTACTTCTGGCCTCCATAACAGTAAGAGAATAAATTTCCGTTGTTGTAAACCATCAAATTTGTGGCAATTTGTTACAGCAGCTATAGGAAGCTGAATACGATAAATATATTTCTGAAAGATATACTCTGCACATGTTCATTACATAGACCTATCAAATGCACAACTGTAAGTGCACAAAGCCCTTAAACACAATATATACATCTGCCTGAGAACTTCTTATGCATATCTGAGAAACTGGCACCCCCATCTACCCTGTGGCTCAAAAAACTAGTGTGTTATTTTCATTTCCCCTCAAAGCCTAAATAGAGTCCTTTAACAAGTCCCTCTGTGTCCACCTCCAAAATATCTCCAATCTATTCATTCCCCTCCACCTCCCCTACCACCACCCTTTCCAAGACATGATCGTTTCTTTTCGACTCCTATGTTGGCCTCCAAGCAGTCTTGCTGCTACCATTCTTGCCTCTCTACAAAGACTTTTCCAGATAACACCCAAAGTAGTCTTTTAGAATACTTAATAGGATCATGCCACTCTCCTGATGTAAACCCTCCCAATATGGTTTCTCAATTTTTCCAAATAAATCCAAGCTCCTTACCTTTTCCCAAAACCTCCTGTATGACCTGAGCTGCTCCTTCCCTCTCTGTCTCTGACTGCATCTCACCCACTTCTCCTGCTCATCCATGGCCTGGGCACACTAGCCTCCTTCCTTCCTGTGAAACTTGCCAGGCTCATTTCTGTTTCAGGGCCATTAGTTCTGTTGCTCTCACTACCTCATCCCCAGATTGTCCTTTAACTTTGTCTTTATTATTTAGATTTCAGCTCAGGTGTCATCTCCTTAGAGACAGCTTCCCTGCCCACCCCCAACTTTACCCCAATCCTTCTCCATTTCATTACCCCATTTTATTTTCTTTACAACACTTAGCGTCATTTTAAAATCTTTTGGGTATTTATTTACTTCTCATCTACCTCCCCTCACTCAAATAAAAAGTGCCACCAGGGCAGCAACTGTGTCTCTTTCACTGTGTGTCCCTGGAGTCTACAACAGTGCTGGCATATGGTGGGTACTTAACAATTACTTGCCAATTTAGTGGATGGCTCTCAACTTTGGCTGGGAATCTGAATTATACATGAGGATCTTTTAAAAAGGGAAGAGTACCAAGTTCTGGGCACCATCTCAGACACACTGAATTGGAGTTACCAGACAGCAGGACCCCACAGTTTATATATTGCCAAAGACCTCCAGGTGAATTGATAGGTAGCCACGATTGAGCGCCAATGACCTAAACACCTGATCAGTGTGCAAATCCCCTACATTCATACTCACAGCCCACACAAATATGCCTTCCACAAACAGCCTCTACACCAGACATCATGTACACATTTACGTGTTCACCCGTTTAACCTAGTTACACACGCCACACGTACAAATACTCTACACAGTGATCTTTATCCATGATATATAAACAGTAATTATTATTATAGCAAAACTACCCTGAGATTCCACTTTGTCCCATGTACTGTAACTGGTGTATAGACTGGGGCTAGTTCCAGCTCTGTAAGAGCTCACACAGCCTATAGTCACTGTTGTGAGCTGAATATCTGTGTCCTTCCCCTCCCCAATTTCATGTGTTGAAATCCTAATCCCCAATATTGGGGATAGGGCACTGGAATCTTTAGGAGACTAAATAATTCATGAAGCTGGAGCCCTCATGGATAGGATTACTGTCCTTATAAAAAGACATGAGAGAGCATTTTTCTCTCCCCCTGCCATGTGAAGACACAATAAGAAACAGCCATCAGTAAAACCAGGAAGCGGCCTTCACCACACACCAGAGCTGCTAGCACCTTGATCTTGGACTTCCCAGCCTCCAGAACTGTGAAAAATAAACATCTGTTGTTTAAGCCGCCCATTTATGGTAAGTTGTTCCAGCAGCTCAAGCTAAGATAATCATCAAAGCGGATCATTGCAATCCAAAATGGTGTTATAAAAGGGCAACACAGAGCACCATGGGGATACAGTAGGAGGACAGGAGACTGCCAAACCCACAAGGACATACTAAAATTGAAGCAGGTAATGCATGATTTGGTCCTAAAGAACAGAAGTTACTATGGTTGAGAGGTGGGAATGAAAAGGGAAGAATACCTGATGCCAAAGGAACAGAATGTGCAAGCATACAGCAGCTAGAATGTATTATTTGCATAGGAATCTGCAAATTATTCAATTTATTTGTTTATTCAACAAAAATCTGAGTGTTTATCATGTCTCAGGTGCTTTGCTACCTACGGCTGAGAACAAGGTCCCAGACTCATGATACTGGAATCTCCAAAGATAGGGTCCGATGAAATGTATTATTATATAACTTTCTAGAGGATTATGATGCATCGCAGGCTTGAGAACCACTGTTCTAGAGGAATTCACTTTGCTGGCTTCCAGAGAAAAGAAGTAAAAGGACCAAATAAATAAAAACCAAGCTGGTCAGTCTTTGACAAGCTTAAGGACTTCAAAGACAACTGCCAATTCATTCTTATCTTCTAATGGCAGCCAGCAATAGTTCTGAGAATGATGGTGCTGTCACTATTGGGGTTCTTTGCTCCAGTTGGGTCACTGCCCACTGAATTCCTGACCTGGGAAAGCTGGTGCAAGCCACCTCTTGGCAAGGGCAACTCCGAGAGCACTAAACCCTCCAGATGGAGTCCTGTGCACCCTTGAGACCAGAAGCCTCGGACCACATGGACTGGATGAGTTCCAGGAGACTGAGGGGCTTCTCTGGTTTTTCATTCCCCCAGACTGCACTCTGGAACTTGGGTCGGAAGTGGCCCATGTCCCTTCCAGCTCTCAGGCCACCTCACGTGATAAAAAACAGTGCACCATTCAGCAGCCACTGCCAAACCAGCCCAGTAATAAAGGGTTCACCCCTCCTGTCTCCTTCATTTGAGGGGAAATCTTGCCTGAGGCACAAGCAAAGCTTCAAATTGATTTAATTTGAAATTTCAAACTGCTGGATGCAGCTTTGCTCAACTGCCATCTGCTTTTCCAGTATGCAAGGACACCGAGCCTGTTTTTATTGTGTTTGTTCAACCAAGTCCACCAGTAAAATATTAATAATTTCCCCAGCGCCTGGGTGGTTTGTGTGCTTGGGATGATATCCGAACATTCATCAAGCTCATCAAAGTTATAAGCAAAATAATTTTCCTCCTTAAGCGGGGAGGGAAGAGGGATCTTGGATTTTTATTACTGGTGCATATCACTAAGTGACACTTTTAGCTCTCTCTATATATACAGGAAAGGAAAACAAGTGCATTGCTTCTGGCCCCAACACGAGATACATTTTCTCTGTAGAGATACAGGTTTTCAGCTTTTCAGCCAAGCAAAGAACTAAGGAATCTGTGAAGATGGAAAGTGAGTGTCATGCCTAATGCCTCTCTTTGCCTCACTCTTCACATGCAATTTGACATTAAGTCCTTTGGAGTCTATCATTATTCTTGGGTTCATTCCCTTCTCTCCAGGCACACTGCCACTGTTTTAGACGAGGCCCTTACCAAGTAATTGGGATTACCACAATCAGCTGCCTCTGGTTTCCTAACACTCCTTAAATTAGTTTCCCTTTCCTCTCCCAAACGATCACCAGAGATGGAGTTTGTAACTTTCAACACAATTTTACCAGTCACTTCCTTCAAGCCATTCTTTGGCTCCTACCTGCCAAGGTCCATATTCTTCAGCCTGGGTTACAATGCTATCCTCCTCCATGTCCACACCAGGATCCTACGCCCCAGCCAATCAGTGTTCTCCTGGGGAAACACGCCGCTCCTGCCCACTGCTGTTGGCTCGAGAGAGAAGATCTATGGAGCACCCCATACAATGCCTCGTTAATAGCATAGCTCCAGAAAGGGCAGTCGTCATTATTTATTGTCACCATCATTTAAAGAAAAAAAAAGTGATAGCTAGATCACCTTGGTTGATCTCTGTCCTGATCAAAGGCATCTAGGTCCTCTTCAGGGGAAGAAAAAAATAGACTGTCATCATCTATTTCCTTCAATTTGGGGCCAAGGAAGAACGGGTCCTAATCTTGACTTGGGAGATAAGAGGCCACATTGCAAGTAGCTAAGAGCTCGGGAACCAGCCATTCTAGGTTGAAATGCTGGCTCTGCTACTTACTAGTTGTATGAATTTGGGCAGCCCACTTAGCCACTTTGCGTCTTCAGTTGGCTCATCTATAAAATGAAGATAATAAAATACTATTTTATTATTGCCTAATAAAAGCTTGAGGCAATATTGAAAGATTCAATAGATATGGAGCACTAAGAATAGGACCTGGCACATAGTAAACACCCAGCAACAGAGTAATAACTCCAATGTATACATATCTCTGAAAGCAGGTTTGTGCAATCTTAAAGGGACCACAGATTCTCACTGTGCAAAGCCTTTGCTGAGGCTATTTTGCTCTCCTTGAATTGCCTTCATCCATAAGTGTCCATCTGGAGAAAGGCTGTGTCTTCTTCAAGGCTAAGCGGAAAGGTCACTCTCTCTAGGATGCCTTAACAGTGGCGTGGGATTTGGGGTCTGGCATACTTGGCTTTGAATCACAGTATTATCACTTTGCATTTGCATTATGGTGAATACGTTGATGAACCCAAGTGTGGCTCATTCTACTCATCTGTGAAATGGAGATGAGATTACTGGTCTTGCAGGATGGCTATGTGTCCCACTTAGTACGTTTTAGTTCCCCTAACTCCTTTCCTTGACCCCTAATGTCAGTGGAAATTATTAATCCATTCTGGGCTTTCCCTAAAATTTATATACCTCTATTACAGTTATAGTACCCCTCTTTTCTGAACTAAAAATCAGCACTATTCATATCTTGACTAAGTTATCTTGACCTTACCTGACTACTACCTCTCTGTCCAGTCTTATTCTCTAGATCTGTCTCCTAAATACATAGATCAGATCAAGGCACTCTCCTTGGGGCAGGAGTAGAAGCAACAATTGATTGAGTCTCTCTATCAGTCAAGTTAAAACTCCTTGAAATGATATTTAAGGTTCTCAAGTCCTGCCCAAGTCTTGCCATGCCAACTCCAACTCTGTCCACTACCACTTGCTGTCAGTATTCACTGTCCCCACTGTCCCCACTCTCCCCAGAGCAAGCCATGGACGCAGCTCTGGCTGGGGAGTCATCTCTACATGGAATGCTCTTCTGTTACCTCCTCACCAGCTGACACCCTACTCCAATATCCAAGACCCAGCTGAAACACCCCCATTTTTCCTAAGCCCTTCCTAATCTCCACTCCACCCCATTTCCCAAACAATTAGAATCAATGAAATAAATTAACAAACAGGGAGACTGACTTCTCTGAGACAACAACTAGTAAATGATAGGGATGGGTCTCAAACCCAAAGCTCCTGATTCTAAATGCCCCCACTCACACTTTCTTGTCCCCATCTTGTGCTGTTTCTATACACTCCTGAATTCACTCCTGTACCAGTAACAGTCAGGAGCTCCAGATCTCTGAGATACTGGACATGTCTGAAACTATAGTCATGTAGGGTCATTTGCTTCTTCCTCTGCTTCCCTCTCCATTTCTGACACGTGTATGATGAGACGGCCACCCTCACACAGTGCTGGCAGAAATGCAATTGGGTGGAACTTCTGGGAAGCAATTTGGCAGTGTGTATTAAGAGTTTGCAAAATAGTCATACTTAGTCATTCCTTTTCTATATATCTGTTTTAAGAAACTAATAAAAAGTAACTATATATATACACAGAGATACACATATATAAATATACAAACACATATATAAATATAGACAGATACATACATAGGAGGATAATATTGTTAGAGTAGGAGACTAGGAGACACGGCTGAGACCAGATGCAGGGGCTTGCAGAGTGGGTGCAGGTGTTAAAGCAAACAACCCTCAAGCAGAAGCTAACTAGGGGGGCTGTTAATCACAGGCAAGAGCCGGCTTCAACTAGCTTTTCAGCTACCTCTGCCACTTTACATGGACTTTGGCTAATCACAATATCACTTACACTGTGGTTTTCAAATTTTTCCACCCCTGAAGTCACCATGACAGTTCCAAAACAACCACATAAAGTATAAAAATGGGAGGGAACCCAATTCTAGGGATCGCTACTCAAATTCTTAGTAAATGCCAACCCCTTAGTCTTGAATGTCCCTCCCTTCAATTAGTAAGACTTCAAAAGACCAAAACCCACATCCTCCCAGTGCAGCTGCTCTTTTCTAGCCTGCCAGCTATCTCTCTGGAGAGAGTGTACTTTTGCTTTCAATCTTTCCATTTAAAAAAGCTGTTGCTTTAGCTTACGTGGTGCATCCTGAAATTCTTTTCCTCACAATCACCAAGAACCTGGAAAAATCTTCCCTTGGAGGCCACTAGCAGTAAGACAGGGGAAGTTCAGAAGTAGCCTAACTGCCTAATAATAAAGAAATGCAGTGGTTAAGAACTTCAGTTTTAGAGTCAGAGAGAACAAAATCCTAGCTCAACTTCATAATAGTTGTGTTATGTCAGTGCATTATTTAACCTTTCTGTGCATTAGTTGCTTCATGTATTAATATATACTAATCTCATAAAGAAATAATAGAACCCACTTCATAGGGTTACCATGAGGATTGAATGAGATTTTACAGGACAAGAATTTAACTCATAGTCTTTTTTTTTTTTTTTTGAGACCAGGTCTCGCTCTGTTGCCTGAGCTAGAGTGCCATGGTGTCTGTCAGTCTAGCTCACAGCAACCTCAAACTCCCGGGCTCAACCTCAAACTCCTGACTCAGCCTCCTAAGTAAAGTAGCTGAGATTACAGCCACATACCACCATACCTGGCCAATGTTATTTTTCTATTTTTAGTTGCCTGACTAACTTTTACTATTTTTTTTGAGACAGAGTCTCACTCTGTTGCCCAGCTACAGTGCCATGGCATCAGCCTAGCTCTCAGCAACCTCAAACTCCTGGGCTCAAGAAATCCTTCTGCCTCAGCCTCCCAGAGTGCTAGTATTACAGGCATGAGCCACTGTGCCTGGCCTAACTTTTACTATTTTTAGTAGAGATGGGGCTCTTGCTCTTGCTCAGGCTGGTCTCCAACTCCTAACCTCAAGCAATCCTCCTGCCTTGGACTCCCAGAGTGCTAGAATTACAAGCATGAGCCACCAGGCCCAGCCTTCACTCACAGTCTTTTAACTCAGAGTCTAACACATTGAAAGCTCTCAATAAATATAAGATATGAAGAAGAAGAGGAAGAGGAAGAGGAAGGGTAAAGGGAGCAGGAGAAGGAGAATAATTGGAAGAGACAGCATTATGTTTACAGAGTTTGAATTAATAATATGGAAAATGAATTAATGATCAGTGAAAAAGTAGAATTCTAAATTGTGTACAGTAATAATCCAATGACATAAAAAATCCTATAAAAATGTTGAAAGAAAATGTGCTTAATGTTAGCAATAGCTACACCTCACTGATGAGACTATGCTTGTGTGTGTAGGGGGCTGTAATAGTTCATTATCTTGGCTTTATATATTTTTTTGCCTATGTGCCTACTCTTGCCCAGATAGCAACATGGATACCCTGAATGACATGACAAAATCATATCATACTTTTTCTTCACCTCTATTGTCCCTGTCATGAATCCAGGACTGAGCAAATGAGCCTTGTGGATGGAACAGGCAGCAGGGTCTCCATTATAACATGAGTGACTTTACTGGAGATGCCCAAGGTGGTGCCTAAAACAGAATAGTGTCCAGTGAATGCTAGTTTTCTGTCCCTCACCTTGCTTGCTTTTCTGCTTTATTCTAAAATGTCTAAACTGTTTGGGAATAAAATAAGTGGCTGTGATAGCTCATTCCATCACTGGCCTCTACGTAACAGCTAACAACATACTGCACTGAGATCAACCGGCAACAGGCTTTTGGTGACAGCAACACTAGTTCACAGAGAAAGATGACTAGCTCTGTCCATGTTGGCTGTCATGGACTGGTTAGATCTGAGGACAGAGGTGAGTGTGCTTAAGTTCTTCCACTTGCTCTTTACCAGTTTTCTGATACCCTTTTGTGAGAGCTAACTCTTGCATGTGAGTTAAAACCCAATCCCCAAAGTTCACTGTGGTTTATGGAATATTATCTGCCAGCTGTGATAGGAAGTCAACCTTCATTTCTTGCCTCTGAGCCCTGGACAATGGTCCTGGGTTCCACCCACCAGGGAGCGTTTTCAGGTAATAAGAGAAAATAGTTTGGCTCTTTGTCCAGGCGAGGTATGGTTTTGTCCTGTTGGCCTATTTAAGTTAGATTTAACTCTTTTTCCATTTATATATTCAGCATCATTAGATGGGCAGCTGTCATGCACCAGACATGGAGGATGCAGAGGTAAATTGTCATTTAGAACAGAATCCCTTTTAGGTAAAGCACCCACATTAAGCAAAGGAGTTGACTATATGGTTCATTTAAATAACTACTGTACTTGTATAGCATATACACACATTTGACAGAGATAGAACTAGTATATATATAGTCCAGGTGGCTTTAGAATCAAACAACTCAAACTTCAACTCTGCTCTTTCACAGGCATCTGACTTTGTGTCTGTTTCTTCATAAAGTGCAATGCCATGCTAGCGTCAGGATTAGAGTGTGACTGTGTGTATCACTTAGCAAATCTAATACCTGACCAAGCAGCAGTGCTTAGTGTTAGTATTTTTACTGTGGTTTCAGAAACCCCACTGCAGATGAGCAAGAAGGTATGCATTGCGTCTTTTCAAAGTTACCTTCAAGAGAGCAAAATGCTCTATCATAATTAAGTCAGAATGTTCCACATTTTCTCTTTACACTCAATTGCCTTCTGCTACTGGTTACTGATTTTAATTTCTGTTTTAGGACTTCAATTTGAACACCTTGTCCCTGCAAAGAGGTTAGGGAGGAACAAGATGGGAATTCACCTTTCTTCTGAGCTTTGCATGCCTGGCACTGTGTTCAACACTTTTACCAATGTTTTTTCATTTAATCTGCATGGTGGGGCTTGGGGTAGGCATTGTGTTTCCGCCTTAGCAAAGACGAAATGGAAGCCCAGAAAGGGTAAGGGACGTGACACCACAGAGCTATTAAATTGCGGTGCTGGCTTGCAGCCAGAGCTGTCTGAAGCCAATCCTTGCTCTTGTGGAACACACTGAACCCTCTGGCTCATTCCTGTCACTCAATTGGGTCATTGGTCTTTC